CCCAGCAGGAAAACCCTGGGAAGCTCATGTGACCACTTTCCCCCCCCCCCCATGTTTTGTCCCGCAGGGAGCCCCTCCCGGGATGTGCTCCTGGTCTCTGCCATCATCACCGTCAGCCTTAGCGTCACCATCGTCCTCTGCGGGATCTGCCAGTGGTGCCAGCGCAAGATGGTGAGTGCCACCCTTCCCTCCTCCCTTCCCAGCCTGGGGGTGATTCCTGCTGCAGGGGATCCCCAGAGCCGCAGGTTGTGGCTTTCCCAGCTGGGATAATGGAACGTTTGGGTGCTGCCGTTCGTGAGATACGAAGGGAAGTTTCCAAATATATGGATATATGTTGGTGACGAGCCGGAACGAGCTGGCCCCTGTCCTGCTGGGCACGTTCCCACCTGGAAAAGCCCCATGGGAAGGCGGCCAGCCTGTCCCCACGAGCCATCCCTGCCACCCGCTTCCCTCTACAATTCCCATTGTGGATCGGGGCAGCGCTCCCTCCCCTCTTCCTCCTTCTCCTGCTCTCCCAGGAGCAGGACATGCTCGGCCACGTTTCCTTCACCGTCGGAATCGAATCTGGGTCAAGTGCTCCGATGGCAGCGGCGCTTCCCGTGTGGGAGATGCCTGCTCTGAGCTGTGGGAAGGCAGCATTCCCCCGGGAATGGCAGAGGGGATCAGGCTGGGGATAAGGCAGCGTGGGGGTGGTGGGTGGGAAGAGGCTTCCAGGTGCCATCCAGGAGATCTGGAGAGGCAGGGATAAGCACTGGAAAGGAGGAGGATGAACTGGCAGAGGAACAAACAAGTGTAAATTGGCCGGGAAGGCGAATCCCAATCAGTCCTCGGCAGTGCCCAGAGCTGGAACGGCTGTATGGGAATGACGGCCAAGCCCGGCAGGGCCGGCTCTGGGATGTGCCCACAGGGCCACTGCCAGGAGGGCTGTGTCCTCACAAGCCCTGAGCTGGGACAGGGATGAGCCCAGGGCTCAGGGATGACTCCCTTCAGGATGGCCTGTGGACATCTAGGCAGGTTGGACATCCCTGCAGCTCCTGGCAGGATGAGCCCTTGGGCATCCAAGGTCCTGCAGATCCCAGCACAATTAGCCCTTGGACATCCAAGAAGATCCAGGTGTTGCCCATGGGCATCCAAGATCCAACATCCCTACAGAGTCCAGCAGGATTAGCCCATGGGCATCCAAGGACATCCAACATCCCTGCAGCTCCTGGCAGGATTAGCCCATGAGCATCCAAGGGAATCAAGGTGTTTCCCTGCAGCTCCTGGCAGGATTAGTCCAAGGGCATCCAAGTTCCAACATCCCTACAGAGCCCAGCAGGATCAGTCCATGGGCATCCAATATCCCAGCAGGATTAGCCTGTGGACAGTCAAAGACATCCAGGTGTTTCCCTGCAGCTCCCAGCAGGATTAGCCCATGGGCATCCAAGATTCCTTCAGCTCCCAGCAGGATTAGCCCATAAGCATCCAAGGAGTTCGAACACCCTGGCAGCTCCCAGCTGGATCAGCCCATGGCTGCCCAAGGACACTGTGCCAAGAGCACAGGTGTCTCAGCATTCCAAGGAGTCCACTCTGTGCGGAGCTGCAGAGGCTGGGAAAGAGGAGGGAAAAATATTCCTGTTCCCTGGGCAGGCTGGATGCAGGGGGGATGCTCCCAGCTCCAGGCCCAGTGTGATGGAAGGGCTGGTTCTCCACCCTATCCTGCTGTGGGAGCTGCTCCCTTCCCACCTGGAGCCTTCTTGGCTCCCAGTTGTTGGCTAATTGGTGCTAATTGCGCTCCGGGCTCGGAGCGTGTGGAACGTGCTGAAGTGTCCTGATTACCAGCCCCAGTTAGGAGCCAGCTCCGGCTTCATTATCCCACGGCAGTGCTTCCCGGGCACGGGGAAAGGTGAACTCAATTAATCCAGCTTCAATTAAGCCTAAAATTATCCACTGCTTCCCAATGAGGCCTTGGAATGGGACCGGAGGCAGTGACCGCCCTGTCCTTGGGGTGACAAAGGGCACGAGCCCCAGGGATCATGGAATGGAGCGACTGGGAATTTTGCTGCTTGGATGGGTGGGATGGAACCTGGAGACTGTGAGGGAATAAGGGAAAATGCGAAATCCAGGACAAACTCACCAGGTGGTGGCAGCTCCCATCCTTTGCTTGGATGCTCCTGGTGTCCCCTGCCACTCCCTCATTCCACTATCCTATCTTTTCCATAGGGAAAGCGTTACAAGACTTCCCTGGAGACTGTGGGAACTCCAGATTCCAGCCGAGGCCGCAGTGAAAAGAAAACCATCAAGTAGGTGCCAGGACTGGGGGGGAGAGGAAGGACAGAGGTGGTCATTCCCTGGTTCCCCACTCCCAGTGGGAAAGGGGCTGCGGGACACTGGGAGAGCTGGTGGGTCTCTCCTGCATCCTTGAATATCCCTCAAAGCCGTGGGATGGAGCCACAGGAACCTCAGCCAAGGGATGCTCCAGGTCTGGGCGTGCAGATGGCTCTGCATCCTGTGGGCATTCCATGGAGGAAGGAGAGCAGAGCTGAAGTGTCTCATGGCTCTGGGTAGGGAAGAAAGTGCAGGGTTGGAAGCTGGAGGGGCTCTCCTGGATACCCCAGGTCTGGTACTGCCTCTGGAAACCCCCCACAGGGCTCCAGGGAGGAGGGAGTTGGACCAGCAGCAGGGAAATTGCTCCTGCCTGGAATAAGGCTATGGAAAACCTCCTCCTATGGTGTCATTGGGGTGCAGTTGTCTGGGGTACCTTGGGCACCTGGACACTGCTCCCAGCCCAGCTGGGATGAGCTGGGAGTGCAATGGGAAGCACATCCCCTCCCGAATCCCGGCACACGCGGCTTTCCTTCCCCAGCTCCGGCACGTTCTGTACAGCCGGGATCACCTTGGAGCCGCAGGTGGGCACTGGCGAGGGGTGGGAGGGCCAGGCAGCGGTGGCTTTTCCACTCTCCCAGCGGGGAGCCTCTGGGCCCCCAGTCCCTGGCACGCAGATCTGCTGGCTTCCCGGAGCCAGGAATCCCAGGCTCCATGCTAGCAGCAAGAAGAGATCCGGAAGGGTCTCTGACACATGGGTAACCAAGCAGGGTGCACTTCCAGGACCTGTTGAGGAGGCAATATGGACACACATGGGAATGCTGTGCCGGCACCACGCTCGCTCCTTAATTCCCATCATCCTTCTCTTCTTCCCAGTCGGTGGAGCCGCCCACTCCTGTCTCTCCACAGTTCTTCCCTGCTCCATCCATCCATCCATCCATCCATCTATCCATCCGTCTGTCCGTGTCCATGTCCGTGTCCATGTGTGTGTGTGTGTGTGTGTGTGTGTGTGTGTGTCGGTGTCCCAGGGATGGGCAGCCGCACTTCCCGTCTCTCTCTGCAGGATCCCGGCGCTCCGGGGACGGAGCACTGCTTTGCCTTCCCCTTTCCCACAGGAATTCAGCTTCTCTCTCTTGTATTTCCCTTTTCTTTTCTCCCCTGGAATCCGGCCGCTGTAGCGATCTAGACAGAGACTTTTGGAATAACAATGACAACACAGTGCAGCAGAAATGGAGCTCCTACCCTCCCAAGGAGTTTATCCTAAACATTTCTCCTTACGCTCCGTACGGTGATCCGCGCCTTTCCCTCAAGTGAGTCTCTCCTTGCCGGGTTTGCTCCATGTAGTGAGTATTTGGGCAGCACCCTCTCGCCTTCCTCCTCCTCCTCCTCCAGCTCCTCCTCCTGCTCCCAGGCTCCCCGCACACCACCCCATGGGCCTCCCCATGGAGACGAGCAACCCCTCCTTCCCGCTTTCCCGGGGTTTTCTGGGATGTTCCCCCGGGACGGGGTTGCGCGTTGGGGGCACCCCCTCGGTTCAGGGTCGGGCTGCCGGCGAGCGGGACCCCAATTCCCGACCCCTTCCCTGTCTCCCCACTTTCTTTTGGATGGTTTTCCAAGGTCCCCCACGTGCCCCCCGGCCAGGCCCCCTTTTTTTTTTTTTTGGCAGTGCTGATGTCTCTCTCTCTCTCTCTGTCTGTCTGTCCGTCTCTTGTCCGTCTGGCTCTGTTGCCCTCTCCCCTCATTCCCTGACAACTCCTGACCTCTCCCACGTCCGTCCATGTGTCTGTCCGGCTCTGTGTGTGTCCGGGGGGGTGTCTGGCCGCTGGCCCGGCCCAGTGGCTCTCTGTTATCAGGGGCCAAGCTGACGGCATCGGCCGCCTCCGGCTTAGCCGGGGACCGGCCCGGGGACAAGCAGCGGCTCAGCGAGGATGGAATGAGGAGCAGCATGTCCGCCCACAGCGAGCCTGGAGCGGGAAAGGCGGCACGAGGCCGCTGGCACACGGTGCAGAGCCACTTGGCCGCAGGGAAGCTCAGCCTGTCCAAGTGAGTGAGCACGGCACCGGCACAGAGATGCTCCCCTCCAAGGGATGCACTCGCATGGGGGCCACCGGCAGGTCCCGGGGGCTACCAACGTGTTCCCGAGGTCACCAGCAGGTCCCTGGGGCCACCAAAAGGTTCTCAGGACCACCAACAGGTCTTCAGGGCCATCAATATGTTCCCGAGGTCACCAGCAGGTCCCTGGAGACACCAACAGCTCCTCCGGACCACCAATATATTCCCGAGGTCACCAGCAGGTCCCTGGAGACACCAGCAGGTCTTCAGGGCTGCCAAAATGTTCCCAAGCAGGTCCCTTTGGCCACCAGTAGATCCTCAAGACCACCAACAGGTCTTCAGGGCCACCAACAGTTGCCTTGGGCCACCAGCAGATTCCCAGGGCCGCCAATATGTCCTGAGGGCCACCAGCAGTTTCCCAGGGTCACTGTGCTGAAGGAAATGAGGAGTTTCCCATGCTCCTGATGCTGTTTTGGCTCAGGGGGAGCCCCTTTAGGTGCTATGTCCGGCACATTTCCAGCTTTGTCTGATCCCAGCAGGAAGCAGCTCAACATTCCCAGGGCAGGCAGTGCTATGCTAGTGATGGCCCAGAGGCAGGAAGGATTGTCCCATGTCCCCATCTCTCAGGAATGGTGCCATCTCCAGCCTCTTCCCTCCCCACGCTCCCCTGACCTGGAGCCAACAAACATCTGCAGCTTTACCACCCCATGGCAAAAAAATTCGGGAAAAGTTCAGGATTGATCAGTTTTAGGGAAAATCCAAGCTTTGGCACGCTCAGGGTGGGGGGCTCAGTGAGAACCTCCACTGGGAAGGCCATAGTTCTGCCGGCTGGTGATGGGAATATGTCAGATCTGGGCTCCGTCCTGTGTTCCTGGACTCTGCTCCAGTTCTCCTGCGCCAGGATGTGGCAGCCGGGACATCTTGGCAACAACCCCAGCACCCTTGGAGAGCTTGGTGGTTCCCAGGCTGGTGTGCTTTTCCAACCTTGTCAGTGGGGAGAAAACCTATGGAAAAGGGACAGGCCTGTCCTGCTGCCTGGGAGAAATTCCAAATGCCCCCAGAACCGGTGGCGTGATGCCAGACTGCTCGAGTTGGGAACTGGGAGCAGGAGGGAGAGGCAAGGAAGAGGGGGAGCCATATTCAGACTCAATGGAGAAGAGAATTCCCACTGAGAATTCGGACAGATGGACAACGGCCGGCACAGGCGTCCAGGGCAGGGTTAAGGGCATGTCCTGTTTTCCAACATCCCTTTGGCTCAGAGCCATCGGGATTGGGGGCGTGCTGGGGGTCCACGCTGAGGGTCTGGGTGCTGTATCCCACTCCCGGTTCCACGGGATCCAGCCAGGAGAGGGCAGGGCACGATGCCGCCTGGCACAGCACTGGCACAGCTCGCGCCTCCAGCTGGCGCGGGGCCGACGGGAACCAGATTTAGTTTCCTGCGACTGAGAGGTTGTAAATTGAACTAATTTAGGATTCCATAGGAAAACGAAAGGAGGACGGCGGCAGCACGGGTGGGGGGGCAGTGCCCAGGCAGTGCCTCTGGCTCCAGCCATCCCAGCTCTCCACTCCTCTCCACTCCCTTCCCTCTTCTCTCTCTTCCTCCCACCTTTCGCTCCTTCTTCACCTCTTTATTTTGGTTTTTGGAGCTATTTATCCTTCCCCTCCCATCCCTCTCTATCCCCGCCGCTGGCATTGCACGATGGCACAGCTTTGTCCCGTGGCAACGCCGGGATCGGGATGAGGTCGGCGGATGCCTCTCGAGGCGACTCCTCGGTGGTCCCAGGGGGGGATTTTGCCCCCTGGTCCCGTAGCCATGAGCATTCCAGGCTGCCACGGGCATTCCTGCCCGGCTGCATGGGCCGTGCCAGGCATGTGCTGCTTCCTCGCTGGCATCCCACCCGCTCTTCCCGCTCTGGAAGCCGGGCCATCCCAGGCCGGGCTTCTCTGCTCTCCGTGTCCCACGGGAGCCGTGTCCGCATCCACCGTCCCAAGACTGGGAGCCTCCCACCTCGGGCATCTCTCCCTGGGGGCCCCCTGGCTTGTTGGAACATCCCCACGGCAGGGATCCGGCCCCGCGGCGCTGTGGGATCCCCTCGATCCCGGCGGGATGGGGACGCCGAGTCCCCGCGGCGCCGGCGCGGCTGCTGGGCTGGGAGGGAGCAGGCCGAGGGGCCGGGCCGGCCGGCAGCACGTGAGCGGCCGCCGCGGGATTTGCCTCCTCGCAGCAGCCTAATTCTCCCGCAGACGAGGTCGGGTGCCGGAAAGCGGAGCGGCAGCCGCGGAAAGCGGGTGGGCACATCCAGCCCAGCCCGGCCCGGCCCGGCCCAGCCCCCCGGGGGACGCAGGACGGGCGCGATGGTGGCGGCACGAGCCCCCCGTGCCCCCGGCAAGGCGGAGCTGCGGGCGAGAGGCGGAGGATCCGGGCGCCGCTCCCGCTGGCTCCCGCCAGAGCGTTCCCTGCGCTGGGGCATCTTCTCTCTAACTCTCTTCTTTTCCTTCCTCCAATTTTGCCCCTTCACCTTCTTCTCCTTTCTCTCCTCTCCTCTGCCCTTCCTCTCCCTAAGTTTCGAGGACTCCACCCTGTCCACAGCCACTACCCTTGAGTATATCCCCACCTCAGCAGGCGATCCCAAATTCCAGAGGCCCCGCACGCTCATGCGCCAGCAAAGTCTGCAGCAGCCCCTCAGCCAACACCAGCGCGGCAACCACAGCCAGCCCACCACCAGCCAGAGCCTGGGCCACCTCCAGGCCCACAGCGGCCCCTCCGGCATCGCCGCCAACTCCCGCGGCTCTCGCAGTGGCCAGACGCGCCAGGGAACCGCCGCCGGCTCCAAGCAACGCATGGCCGGGGGCCGGAGCCGCTCCAACCCCGGCAGCTGGGACCACGTGGTGGGGCAGATCCGCAGCCGCGGCTTGGACATGAAGTCCTTCCTGTAAGTGTATGCTCTCCAGTGCTCTTCCCTCCGCCGCCATCCCCATCACTCCTCTGCTCCATCATCCTCTCCATCTCACTCTCCTTGGCTCCTTTGCCTGCTCCATCCCTATTTCCTCTGCTCCAGCCCTCTGCTTCATCCCTCTCTCTATCCCTGTCTCCATCCCTGTCTCCACGCCTCTCTCTATCCCTGTCTCCATCCCTCTCTCCATCCCTCTTTCCTCTGCTCCATCCCTCTGCTTCATCCCTCTCTCTATCCCTCTCTCCATCCCTCTTTCCTCTGCTCCATCCCTCTGCTTCATCCCTCTCTCTATCCCTATCTCCATCCCTGTCTCCATCCCTCTCTCTCCTCTGCTCCTTCACTCCCCCCGGCGCGGCCGCTCATCCATCACGCCCTTAGGGACACGCTGCCCATTCCTACGGGAAGATCCATGTCCCCTCCATCCCCCCGCCGGGGTCATGGATGACCCACCCAGCTCGGGGGCCTCAGGGAAGGGTCCCCCAATTTGCTTTGCCATGTCACCGGCTGGTCGGGATACTGCAATCCTTTTCCATCCCCAGGGAATGCAGGGATGATCCAGCCCACGGGATGGCCACCGGCGCTGTCCCCGGGGAGTGACATTGTCCCAAGGATTCGGGGACGGGGTGGCGGTGGCGCCCGTGCAGGGCAACCGTGTGTTGGGTCCCGATATCGCTCCCAGCCGGAGGATCTGTATGATCCTTAAGCTCCTTAACCCCATCTCCTCCATCGGCGCTGGATTCCCAGCATCAAACCCCGGGGACTAATCTGAGTCCCGTGTTGTCACCATGTCTCAGCACATGACAATGTCACTCCTCCGCAGAGCCAGTGCCCCCGGCTCCATCCTCCCCTAGATTCTCCAGCTCCTCCCTTTTCTCTGTTTGCCCCCCAGCATCCTGGAAAAAGGGATGCGGAGGTCCCAGCTGCGCCTCCCGCAGACTGGGAGTGGTGCGAGTGGGACACGGGGACTGATCCTGCTCTTCCATGAGCTGGCACAGCACCTCCTGCGTCAGGATTAGGTGGGAAACACCCCGAGAGGCACAAATTTGGGTGCCCATCCCGCTCCTTCCCGTACGGGCAGCTTTGGAGAGAGGGATGAACCTTCCTCCGGATACCCTGGGGTGCCCTGACTGCCACTCCCCGCTCCTCATCCCTCTCTGATCTTCCCTTTTCCCCCCCCGAGAGGTCCCTCCCAGCTCCATTTCCCGGGTTCCCAACATGGAGCTGCGGCTCCTCAGCCATCCCGAGGGTCACATTCTCCCTGTTTACCGAGCCCTGGTGCCGCTTCCAGCCTAGAATTGGCAGAGGGGGAGCAGCCGCAGCACCCAGATGTGCCGAGTCAGCGCGGAGGAGCCGCTGCCTTTTCCCATCGCCTCTTTCCCGATACATTGATTTTCCTTTTGTTCTGCTCACCCTCCCCGGGGCCGCGGTGTAAATGCATCTCCGGATCCCAGGGAAGCTGTTCCAGAGGGGGCAAAGAGCCTTGGACAGGGCACAGCCACCCCCTCCTCCATGGAATGATGCTGGTGCCTCGCTCTTGCCAAATTGTCCCTCATTCCCAGCCCCTCCGGTCGCCTTTTCCCCCTTTCACTAGGGTTTTGGCATCCTCCGTGCCTGGACCAGTGGAGGAGAGGAATATCCAGGCGGGGGTATCCAGCTCCCTGGAGCCGGTGCCTTTCTCCCCACAGCCCATCCTGCAGGAGCCGGCGGGTACATCCCAGGTCCCCTCACCGTGGTCCCGCCGGCTCCTGCCGGTTCCCCGCTTGACCCTGTGTTCTCCTCTCTCTTTCTCTCTCTCTCCCGCTGCTGGCGGGGCCCGCCCGGGCAGGGAAGGCCGGATGGTGGTGTTATCCCTGGTTTTGGGACTCTCAGAGCAAGATGACTTTGCCAATATTCCCGACCTGCAACCCGCTGGGACGCAGCCGAACCAGGCGAACACTCAGGGGGACAAGAGGTATGAGCGAGGACGAAGCCGGTCCCGCAGGAGGAGGACACGAGGGCCCCATCCAGGGTGGAGGAGGAGGAGGAGGAGGAGGCTGCCCTCGTGGAGCGCCAAGGTTGGAGCGGCACATGGTGGCCCAGCGGGCACTGGGACGTCTGAGCTCTCCACGTCTGAGTTCTGCCTCCGGAGCGGCGGCACCGAGAGGACTCCCCACCCCTCCCTCCTTCCTCCCCCTCCTGCCCTTCCCGGCGCTGGCTGCATGCGGGGGGACATGCTTGGGCAGCCGCGGGGCAGGGGACACGCAGGGTCCGCCCCAAAAGGACGCCGCACGGGCTGAGCCGCGTCCCATCCCCACAGCACCGCTGCCGCCTCCATCCCGGCGGGACGGGCAGTATCCCTTGGGATATGGGGACACCGCTGCCCCTCAAGGGGCAGAGCAAGTGCGACGTGCCGTGGGGTATGCGTTATCTCCGTTCTCCTCGGGCACTGCACAGCCCCTTGCCTCCGGCTGCTCCCCGCAATCTCTGGATGCCAAAGGCTTGGCATCGCTCGCCGCCCCATCAGGAAAGCCCAGCTGGCAGCGGCAGAGGGTCCGTGTGCCGCCGGGAGCGGCTGTTCATCCCCTCTGGAGCAGGAGGAAAGTGTGAAGCCGGCGGGCGCCGCTCGGCGTGCAGCTCAACTGGCACCGTTCTCGCCCACTGGCTATTTTTACCCTGCTCCGCTTGGTTTTCACTCCATCTTTTAGCACTTCCCTCACTGGCGTCACGCTGCGCAGCCAGTCCCTGCCGGGAGCACCGGGAATACCGGGAGCACCGTCAGGGCGTGCCGACGGGATAGGGGGGCCACCTGGGACACGGTGGGGGGTGGGTGGCTGTGCCGCAAGACCCCGCTCCTGCTTCCTGCATCCCGGCTCCAAAAACCCATCCCGGCGCACGCATGGCCTCCCCATCTCCATCCCTGCTCCTCCCCATTCCCTGAGCTCCGCAGGATGCGGCGGGTCCGGCCGGCGGAGGGGACACACCCGGGCGGCCTCCACTCTCTCCCGCCCAGAGACGCTGCCGACCGCCCGCTCTTCTTCCTCTTCCAAACACCTCCTCCATCCCTGTTTCTCAGCTTCTTCCTTCCAGCCCATCCCCGGCGGCTCCAGCCCAGTCCCTCGGCGTGTCTCCCGTCCCGGCGACCAACTGCTCTCCGTCCGTCTGTCCATCCCCCCTCTCGCATTCCCTCCCAGCAGGCCGGCGCTGGATGACACCGCTCCTCCTTTCTCTTGCTCTTTCCCGCTCTCTCTCGCTCTTTCCCGCTCTCTCTCCCTCTATCCGTGACTTCCTGCAGCTCCACTGGTGCCTCCTCGCCCAGCGGCTCCTCCACCTTTCATTTTCCCTCGTTTTAACTTTATTTTCCCTCCCCAGCTGCCACGGCCTCTCTGGTCCTTCCTGGGGGCCGTCCCGTGTGTCAGCGTGTGCTTGGTGTGGTGTGGCGTGTCCGTGGCATGTCCTATGCCTTCCCGAGTGTCCCTGCGGCTCTTGGTGGTTTGTCACCATGTCCTGCCTCAGTGAGAACATCCTGGGGTGCCTGTTCTCCTTCTGCCATGTGCGTGTGTCCCGTTGTCCCTGTGCCTTGTGGTAGCGTGGCCTCGGCGCATTCCTGTCTCCATCACTGCTCTGTCCGGCTACTTCCCGCCACTCCCGGCTGCCCACCCTTCCTGGCACCATTCCCGCCATCTGGGAGCCACTGGGACAGCGATCCCAGGGGGGTCTCAGCCCCAGGAAAGCAGACGGAGCACCCATGGGTGCCCACCGGGATAATGGGCTGCGGTGTGTGAGGTACAGCCAGAGCCGCCGGTGGGGACAGGGCCGTCCCTGCCGTGGGACATGGATGGTGTGGGACCTGCTGCTATGCTCTGAAGGTCCCAGGGCACCTGCTAGCACTGGTGTTGGGGCCGGGAAGCTGGTGGGCCACAGCCACCGATGTCCTGGCAGTGTCCATTGGGTGCTGGCACAGCCTCGGCGCAGTATCTGCTGGGATAGGGTGCCTGAGGAGCCCCACAGGGTCTCACCCTCAGCTCTCCCGGCCCCTCTCCTCCAAGGAATTGCCTCTCTTTCCGCAGGTTGCCAGCCGGCGGCAAGGCCGTGAACACGGCGCCAGTGCCAGGGCAGCCGCCTCACGATGAGTCTGACCGCAAGACGGAGCCTCACTCCTCCGTCTCCGACCTGGTCAACTCCCTGACCAGTGAGATGCTCATGGTGGGTGGACAGGATGCACCAGGAATGGGGTCTCCACGGTCGACATCCTGCCCCGTGCCAGAAGAGCTCTGACACATCCCATTTGCTCCGCTGAGTCCCTGTCGGCTCAGTGTGTCCCCGGGGCCGGTACAAGGGAGCGAGCGGGGCTGGACACGTGAGGGCTGTGCTGTCAGGAGGGATTTGGTTAATTGGAGCTCCCGCTTCCCCGGGACAACTGGCACGGAACCAGGAGTCATGGGAAGTGGCGGGGGCAGTGGGGAGAGGCTGATGGCCCCTGACAGCTGGCGGGGCAGGGGCGGGGGGTCAGGGTGGTGCAAGGCCAGGGGGACGGGGGTCACCAGCAACGCCTGGCATCGCTCTCACCTCCCTCCTTCCCCCCAAGCTGTCCCCGGGCTCCGAGGATGACGAGGCCCACGAAGGCATGAGCAGGGAGAACCTGGGCCGCATCCAGTTCAGCGTCGGCTACAACTTCCAGGAGTCCACCCTAACCGTGAAGATCATGAAGGCACAGGAGCTGCCAGCCAAGGACTTCAGCGGCACCAGCGACCCCTTTGTCAAGATCTACCTGCTCCCCGACAAGAAGCACAAGCTGGAGACCAAGGTGAAGAGGAAGAACCTTAACCCGCACTGGAACGAGACCTTCCTCTTCGAAGGTAAGAACTGGAGTTGTCTGGAAGTGGATGGACTGACCCAGGGTGGGAACAGAGCCATGCTGGGACCTGGCGGTTCAGCTGGGCCCAAGCCACCGGTGTGGTGGTCATCAGTGGTGTTGTGGGTTGGCCAAGCCTCCAAGGCCAGGTTGGAGGTGCACCCTGTAGAGGGGACATGGGGGAAGGATGGGAAGGCTCCATCCCCCCAACAAGCCCTCATGGGTGGGAATTAACCTGCCACCAGCCCCTTGGGCCTTGGTCTGCTCCTTGTGCTTTGCCTGCTTCCAATGTCTTGCCATTATCATGGGGAGGGTGAAGGGGTGCCAGCTCCTTATTCCCTCCGGATTCTCATCCCTCCAGTTCCCCATTCCCTCTGGCTTCTCCTCCGCTCTGTCTCTGGCACAGGGTTCCCCTACGAGAAGGTGGTGCAGCGGGTGCTGTACCTCCAGGTGCTGGACTACGACCGCTTCAGCCGCAACGATCCCATCGGAGAGGTGTCCATCCCACTCAACAAGGTGGACCTCACCCAGATGCAGACCTTCTGGAAGGACCTAAAGCCATGCAGCGACGGCAGCGTAAGGCTCTGGACCCACTCCAACCCCCCGGGCAAGGGGAGGTGGCCCCCCGTCCCTGTGGTGTCCCGTCAGGACCACCACTCACAGGGATGTTTTCTGCTGTTCTCCCCGATGAGACATTTCTCTTCCCAAAGCTTTCTATTAAGGCACTAAGTGGCCCATTTTGGGTCCAAACAAGCTGTTTCAGGTAGATCAGTCCAAACAAGCTGTTTCAAGTAGAAATGAAAGTTTTCTCCTCCTCCTGCCTCCAGCAAGACCAGTGAATGTCCCACCGGGGGTGTCTCCGTTTCCTCCTACCCTGATTTTCTGGGCAACCCCAAAAGCTCAGCTCCAGGCAGGGAGTCCTATCCCATCACCCCACTCCCACCACAGAGCTTTGTGGGCTGTGGGAGTCCTCAGGGTGCCCATGAATCCCACAGGGAAGCCGTGGGGAGCTGCTGCTGTCGCTGTGTTACAACCCCTCAGCCAATTCCATCGTGGTGAACATCATCAAGGCGCGGAACCTCAAAGCCATGGACATCGGGGGCACGTCAGGTACGGTCCCGGCCCCCTCCCAGCTCTGGCTGGCATTCCCGTATTCCCATACCGCTGCTGAGTGGCTCTTTTCCCGCCCCCAGATCCCTACGTGAAGGTGTGGCTGATGTACAAGGACAAGCGGGTGGAGAAGAAGAAGACGGTGGTGATGAAGCGATGCCTGAACCCCGTCTTCAATGAGTCCTTCGCCTTTGACATCCCCACGGAGCGGCTGCGCGAGACCACCATCGTCATCACTGTCATGGACAAGGACAGGCTGAGCCGCAACGATGTCATTGGCAAGGTGGGGACATGGCGGGGACACTGGGGCCGTGGCTGGGTGGGACTTGGTGGGCCCAAGTTTTCCCAGGAGAGCAGGAAATAGGGCATGGGGACCCATATCTGGATGGCTCCCAACCCCCTGGGACTACTCCCAGGGAATTATCCCCTCTGGATTTGCTGTACATGAAACCCACCCAGCTCATTGTGGGTGTAATGATGCCAAACGAGCGCAGTAATACCCATCGTTACCACTTGATCCCAAAAACCCTCCAAAAAACCCAGATCAGTTGGGATAAATCCGGTAAATAAAACCCCAGGTCAGAGCCACGGGCTGCCAGGGAGGGGCAGAGGTGGCAGCATTCCCGATGTGAGCACATCTGAGGCGCTGGTGGCTCAGCTGTTCCCAGAGCACAGTTCCATGGACACACAGACAGAGTCCTCCATGATATTCCCTTAAAACCCCACCACGTGGCACCGGCTCCTCGAGGTATCAGATGCGGTGGCAGCTGACACGCGGTTTTCCATATGGAAAATTCGTGGATAAAAAAAGCCCGGCGCCGGAAAAGCAGGAACAGAGGAGTTTGAGGTTGAAGGCGGCAGCGCCAGAGAGCGGGAGGGGGATGGAGGGGCCGGGAGCGGAGCCGCGGATCCAAGGACGCCATTCCCGCAGATTTACCTATCCTGGAAGAGCGGCCCCGGGGAAGTGAAGCACTGGAAGGACATGATCGCCCGCCCGCGCCAGGCAGTGGCACAGTGGCACCAGCTGAAGGCCTGAGCCCCCCCACCGGCACCGCGGGCTCGGGGGCCCCATTCCCAGCTCCCAGCCCTGCTCCCGGCGTGGGACCGGCGGGACAGCGGGACCCTGCGGTAGGAGGGCTTGGGAGCCCCCCCAGTCTCCCCCCGCTCTCGCCCCTCCCGGCTCTGGGGGTCCCGGAGCTGCCGCGGCCCCCCGAGCGAGGAGGCGCCAGAAGAGAGGATTCCCCTTCTCCATCCCTATTCCCACCACCGGGCGGGACTTCTGCGAGTGCTTCCGGAGCCTCTCGACCCCTCCCCGGCCTCGTTCCCCCCTCCCTCCCCCCAATTCCAGGGGGTCAGGCTGCGGGAGCAAGAGGGACCCCCCTTCCCATTCTCTTCCAACTCAATAAAACCTCTCCGAGCGTCAGCGTCGCCCCCCCGCCCCCCGACCTTCCTCGCCGGGAGCGGTGGGGAGGGGGCAGTCCCTTTCCCTGGGATCGGAAGCCATGCCACAGTTCCTTATCCAAAGCGGGCCCGTCAGTGCACTGCCTTCAGCCGCGTTTGATGCTTTACCTCTGTCTCTGGGCTCGGGGGGTCCGCAACCCCCCGTGGGGACCCCCTAGTCCCGCCCTCAGCCCCACCCCGGGCAGGTGGCGGCCCTTCGGGGGGCTGCTGGGCTCCACGGAATTCCCTCTCCAGCCGGGATGATGCCGGGCCCCCGTGAGCCGCTGGGGATAAGGGGTGGAGCGAACGCTGTTGTCCCCACCCCGGGCAGGCGAAATTCCCTGCGCTGGCGGCATTCCCGCCCGGCAGGATCAGTGCCAGCAGCACCCCTGAGTTCCCCTGGGACGCGCATCCCCGCCCCACTGGGACAGGGACCCCCCTCGAAACGGGGACAGACCCGAGGGGGGTCGGGGGCGAGTGGCGGTGGGGTCACCCAGCGCGACGGACGACGGATCATCCTCAGTCTTCCTGCTCCCCACGTGGCTCCCACCGCCCTTCTTCCCTCCCACGCCCACGGGGGGGACACCGACACCCCTCCGGGTGCCACCGAGGCCACGTCACGATCGTCACAGTGTTCCCCTCCCTCCGTGTACAGCCCCTCATGGTGACACCGGGCACTTGGAGCGGGGGATACCCCCCGAGGTGCTCCAGGGGATTCTCTGCTGCAGGGAGGGGAACCTGCACCAGAATCCCCCAAAACCCGCGGGATTCTCGGCTGCTTAGTCCCTCTTCCCAAGAAGCGACATCCCTGCCACCGTGGGGACAAACCAGCTGGGGACACGGTGGCCACGGGACAACCCCTCCCGCAGCCCCGATTTAGACGATTTTGGACAATCTGGAGAGAAAGTCATAATTCTGCTACTTCAGTAATAACGATGCTTTTAGGGACATTTGTATTTTTGTCAGATTCTCTCTTTTTTTACCATAAAAGAAGAGATTTACACGCCTGGGGAAGGGGACGTAGCCGAAGGGGTTGTGCCAAGCCCCTCCCTCACCCCATCCCGCTTTTCCAGGTCGGATTCCTCGTCCGCGGTCGGGCTCCCCGGGGGGCTTTGTGTGTTCATTTTTAACTCTAGAGCTCGTAGCCGTGATCTTGTTCAGGTATTTCTCTTCTTCATGTGACAGTAACATCCAACTGGTGTGTAAAATACATCAAAAAAACAAGTAGGAAAAAAAAAAAAAAAAGAGAGAAAAATAATAAAGATATAAAACCCCACCCAACTAAAGATCCCAGCGCGGCCCGGCTGAGGAGCGGTTGGAGCAGGGGTTGCCCGGCTGGCAATGCCAGGGAAGGGGCTCGCAGGTCGGGGCTTCTCCTTGGCGGAATCCTATTTTTGGAGAGCGGGGCCCCTCATTTTCTGGAGGCAGGCCCTGCTCTCAGTAATAAAGGACAGTCAGTAACTGCCAGAGTGACTCGTCTCTGGCATCGCTGGAATGGGAGGCGGGATCCTTGGGGCTGGGTCCCACCCGGAGCAGGGATGGGAAACATGGGTGAGAGGTCCCCCAGCACCGAGAGACCCCCAGCACTGAACATCTCCCCAGCACTGAGCATCCCCCTATTCCCTGAGCGAGCATCCCCCCAAGCCCTGGGTATCCCCCCAAAACACTGAGGATCCTCCCCCAGCTCTGCATATCCCTCCACTCACTGAGTAACCTCCAATTCCCTGAGTATCCCCCTGAAAACATTATCACCCCTCACTCACTGATTATCCCTCTCCACATTCCCAAGATTGGGACAGGCCATGCTGGGGGACCTCCGAGTGAAAGGGACATATTTTGGGAAGCAAAGGAAACAAGGACCCCCCTCCAAAGTGTCCCTGCAAAGAAGACAAGGACAGCCCCTATCCTGCAGCATCTGGGCTTTCCAGGATTCCTCTGGCAAATCCTGGGGCTTCGAGGGCAGTTAATGAGGGCACTTAATGAGAGTTAATTAGGAGCAGCCCGGGGAAGAAGCTCCAAGAGGAGGTGACTGGGAGTGGGGGGATCCTGCTGGGATTGGGATCCCCCTGGGGCCTTTGGGGACAATGGTGACACCCCCAGCAGGGTGACAGCTGGAGAGGAGACTTTCCATTTCATCCAGTGCAAGTGCTGGGTAGGGACTGGAATGTGGCTCTGGAGGGTGGGAAGAGGCAGGAAACCCTATCCTGGGTAGTTCCACAGAGAATGTGTCTGGGAGCCACCGCAAAGGCTCTGGTGACCAATAAATAATTCAGCGAAATCTACTCTTGAATAAATCAATGAAATTCCAAACACTGGGATGGCAGGAGAGCCGTGTCCTCCATGTCCTGGATGAAATCCCTCCGGATCCACCTTCTGTGCCTTGGGATGCAGGGGACAAGACTGTCCGCTGGCCACCCACGCCCTGGTGGAGGGGAGGTGGCTGCTCCCACTCCGGCTCTGGCTCCAGCCAAGCCGCAGTTGGGAATTTCAGCATCTCAGCATTCCTAAGCTTCTGATGGCCTGGCTCTACCTGTGCTCCCACACCGGCACCGGGTTTCTTTTATCACCCGAAACCTTGGAAGGCAGCAAAAAGCGCAGCAAACCTGGCGCTCCTGTTGCTCGGATCTGCTGCAATTCCCAATCCCGCTCCTTTATGCTGGCAGCCAGCGGGAGCAGATGGGAATAGCAGCGTGATCCCAGCTGCGGAGAGGCCACAAGCCGGCACACGCCGGGCCGGGAGAGGAGGCAGGGATATATATAGGGACAGACGTATGGATGATGCATTCCCGGGAGCCGGGGCTCGCCGGTGCCAACATTCCCAAAATACCTGAGCGGAGCGGGAATCTGTCAGATTCCTACTGACTGCGGCAGCTCCTGGTCCTGGTGGCACCACGATCATCACTGGATCCAGCTCCTTCCCCAGCCAGGGTGTGGAAAATAGGGATGGAAAAAACTGGGTGGTGGGAAAAGACTCCAGGGAGGCAGGATCCCCCTTTCCCAAGTGTAGGAGCTCCTGGATTTGATCCTGACCGTAAGGACAGGGGGGTGGCATCGAGAGCCACCTGCATCCCTATTCCTGCCAGGCATGGATGGGCTGGTGTGGGTTTATATGGAGCTGGTGGCCTTGGATCTCGCTTAGAGCCAGAGCTTGGAATTCTGAGGGTCTCTGTCCCCCAGGTGATGGATAATTCCTGCTAATTAGCAGCAGCATCTTCCCAGGAAAAGCAGCAGCACCCCCACATTGATGGAACGAGGGGCTGGGAGCCACCCAGCATTCCAGGACCATGTTCCTGGGAATTCGTGGAATTTTGGGATACTCTGTCCCCCAGCCCCACAGTGGGTGGGAAGAGGGATTGACAGCCTGGATCTGTTAGGAAGAGCTAAATCCAAGAGGGAAGAGCAAGTCGAGCTCCTACCAAGCCCTAAATCCCTGGAATTACTGCTGGAAAGGCAGAAGCATCCTCAACCTGCGCTGCTGGAAGGGGTGGCACCAACAGCTCCCGCACATCCCGCACTTGAGGATGCTCCATGTGTCCAAAATAGCCACTGTGGATTGGGAAAGGGGGGGAAATGCCAGCTCCAGAGAGGATGTGGCAGGAGCTCTGGCTGCTTCCCAGCCCCCAAACCCAAACCTCTTGGGATTAAAAGCGGCAGCATGGTCAGAAACCTCCGGCAACTTCTAGACCTCGGACCCACGATTGTCCCACCACATCAGAATGGCCTGGAAACAGGTGGAGGGAAATGGGACTCCTCCAACGCCAAAAATAACAGAAGCACTAGGATGTGTTGCCGTGCTCGGATCCTAAATAAACCTTTCCTGAGGCTGCTCCCTGTCACCTCTCCCTCACACCAGGTTTCCTTGGAATTGTGCTTTTTATTGCTTGAGTTTGGTCCAAGAGGCACTTGGAGACAGGAAGAGGGAGGATAAGGCAGCAGAGCCCTGGATTTGGTGCCTGTTTTGGAAAGTCTCCTCTTCCCACAGAGGAAAAGGCCTTTCCAGGTTGGAGACAGGCAGGTGGAATTTCCATCAGCTCCTTCCCAAACCTGATGGTCAGGAGGAGCCGATGGAAATTCTCTTCCCAAGCCCAATTCCAGCAGCAGGATGGGGATTTTGGGGGTGAGAAGGGGTCTGTGCCTTAATTCCCAAACCCTGCAGCTCTTCAGGATGCCAGGATCCATGTGGAATGGATTCAACCGGCACTGCTTTTCCCTATGCTGCCCATGGAGACGGGAGTAAAGGATTTTCGGAAGTGGCCAGGCAGGAATGTCCCTGTGCTGGTGGGGACACTGAGATTGGGCAGGAGGGTCTGGGGGGTCACCCCTCAGGCAGGGGGCTGTATCCCAAATCCAAGACACCCTGGGATGCTCCCAGGTGGACTCGTGGATCCCAACAGTGATCCGTGTGATCCAGGAGGCAGCTCCTTGCTGTCCCAGCTGGGAGATGCCGATCCTCGGACTGCCGGTTTTTCCACGTGGAGGCTGTGAGCTTCCTGCTTTCCCAGCCCGAGCTGGAAATTCCTTGAGAGGTAAGTGGAGGCCCCACGTCCCTCACGTTTCCTCCTGGGAGCCTGTCAGGGCCTCAAATTCCCGCTCCCCATCTTGCGGCCCGTCCTCGTCGGGCACTGGAGTGGCCTCGGCTCCTTCCTCCTCCTCCTCCTCCTCCTGCTGGAGCTGGAGGCTCCGCAGCCGCTCCTGCCGCGCTTCCATGTATTCCCGCGCCCCGTCCCCCACCAGCCAGACCTCATCCCCGACCGGCGGCGGCTGCCGGACGGGGTTGTGGTCGTAGGAGAGCAGGCTCAGGGCAGCCAAGCCGGTGAGGTCCGGGAAGCGGGAGATGCGGTTGCGATCCAGGTCGAGGACGCGGATGCCCTCCATGCGCAGCAGCACGGGCGGGAATTCCTGGAAGCGGTTCCCGTAGAGCCAGAGCCCGCGCAGTCCCGCCATGCAGGGCAGCCCTGCGGGGAGCTGGGACAGCCGGTTGTCCCCCAGTTGGAGGCTGCGGAGCTCGGGAAGGTGCAGGAGGACGCGGGGAAAGCGCGCCAGGAAATTCCCCTCTATCCAGAGGCAGCGCAGGCTCTGGAGCTGGGAGAAGGCGGGAGGCAGCCCTTGGAGCCCGTTGCGGCCCAGGTACAGATGAGCCAGGCGGGGCAGGTCGCACACGGCCTCGGGCACCTCCATCAGCTCGTTGCCGTCCAGGGCGAGGGTGCGCAGATGCCGCAGCTCCCCGAGCTCCTCCGGGATCTCCCGCAGCCCCGCATCGCTCAGGTAGAGCTTCCGCAGCCCCGGCTCAGCCCACAGCGAGGCCGGCACCTGCCGGCCCCGCACCTCTAGCCGCTGCTCGGTGCCGTCGGGGCCCTCGGCGACCGCCACGGGGGCCCCGCGCCCCGAGGAGCCGCCGCTTCCCATCGCGAAGCAGCGGGAGAGACACTGAGAGAGGCACCGGCAGCGAGACGTGTGCGGGGCGACGCCGTGGCCATGGCAACGCCAGCGGCCAATGGGAGGTCGCGTTGCCCGGGAAGAGACCACGCCCGCCCCGA